TAGTTCGTTTTCTCTCCAGTGGAAGCTCCTGGAAGTGGTGGTTGTGGTGGATTCGGTGCCCAAGGTAAATTGCTCATCCCCTGGGAGTGATCAGTTGTTGGCATAGGCACAGCCGGAGGAGGAGGAACTGCACTATAATATGATGAGTAACCTAGAGAAGCAGTTGCGTAAACTGGTTGCATTGGTGGAACATTCCCATAGATGTTAGATGATGCAGGTGGCGGAGCAGAAGTGTGGTTCTCCGATGGGACACCTGGTGGGTAACTTTGTTGAGCTTCAGAAGTCACAGTTGGACTAGGAGGAGCCGGAGGCACCGGTGGAGGATATTGCATGCCATAAGGTGCCATTGGGTGTCCAGGAGGAGGTGGAGGAGGAGGATACATGTTTGAACCAGGAGGAGGTGGAGGATAATGAGCATAGGGAGACGGAACAGGTGGTCCCCAAGGAACAGGAGGCCCTCCATAGCTTGGATGAGGAGCAGCATAGTTTCCTGGAGGAGCAGGTGGAAGAGGACCACCAGGGGTGAACTGCTGGGATGGATAGGCACCAACTGGTTGACTTGAGACAGGGTATGTGGGCATGCTGGATGCAGGAGGGCCAGGAGGAACACTAGGCTGAGGAGGCTTACCTGCAACCCTCACAGCAATGGTCCGACCTTCAACACGAGCTCCATTCATGCCAGTAGTTGCCGAATTAGCCATTTGAACATCACGATACTTGACAAAACCATACCCTTTACTCAACCCAGTAACCCGATCCTTGATTACCTTTGCCATTACAATCTCACCGTATGCAGAGAATAACTGGATCAAACGATCATCATCAAAAGTAGGAGGCAAGTAGCCAATGTAAAGATTGGTATCATCATATTCCTTCGTCGATTTACCATCACTGGCTCCTAGTCCAGCTTGATTCGCACTGCCAATACCGCCAGTGTTGCTAGCCCATGGAGGATTGCTTCCAGATCCACTTGACCCCAAAGCCAAGGTGGCAGTTTGTTTATTCGAGGACTCAGGCATAGTCCCACCCAGTTCCGCCAAGAAGTTTTGGTATTCATCGTCCATTTTCTTCCCAGTTGTTCCCTTAACAGGACAATCAATAGTAGGATGTCCACCATCACCACAAATCTTACAGAGCACATCACTCTTAAATGTTGTAGTCCGGGATGGACAAGCATACTGCCTGTGTCCAGGCTCACCGCACAACCGGCAATACTCTTCATCCCTAATTGTCCCGTTCAAAGCAGCTAGTTCCCTAAGCTGCTGCCTCTTATGCTCATTCAGAACCTCATCAACCGGCTGCAACAGCTTCTCGACCATGCCAGCAGCAGCATCCAAGGCATCCTGAGTATCTGCCTCAACCAAAACATGCAAATCTTCATTCTCAGACGGATCCGGCTTTAAATCCCTCTTCTGCTGCAACCTGCCCTCCTTCACCGACCCTTTCCCTCGAATTACAATCTTAGCACCGGTTTCCCTCTCCATTCTTTTCTGCGTGTTGCCTCTAGGTCCAATAATCAATCCAATAAAGTTATACCCTGGGTACTCCTTCATCGGGATGTAGAGCTTCTTGTGAAGCTTTGGGGGCCTGTAGTCAGCAGGAGGCTTAAACGCAGGATTCTTCTTGATGATCTGTGAAATGATCTCCTGCCTCTCTTTGTTCAATCTCTCCCTGGCCCTATACTCTCTAGTATTAATCCTAATTCCCATGTTATCATAAATTGGTTCAGGAGAAGGAGACCTAGCTCCTTCAGGTCTATCATCCAAAGGCAAACCAGACTGAGACGTACCAGACTGTAACATCCTGCTAATCTCGAGAAGCCTAGCATTCAAAGCCTGGATTTCGGGGTCGAATTCAATACCTCCGGTGAAATCCTTCATAAAATCTGGGAGCTGAATCACAGGCTTGGGCTCATCATCCGCCCACCTCGACTTCCTCTTCCGAGTGCCACTCCCGGCTTCATTATTATTATTGTTACTGCTACCGTTATTGCTCCCGCCTCCATCCGCCGCCTGATTTCCCCCGCTGCCGTCCGGCTGCGGGTCCCAGCGGCTCCTCCGCTTGCGACGGCTCGTCGTCTCCTCTTCACCGCCGGAGAAGTCCCTGTCGCCGCTGTTGGTGTTGGCGAGGCCATTCTCAGATAGGAGAGGCTTGGTGAAGTCGAGCCTAGGCTTCGGGAACTCGATCTGGCCATTATTGCCTATGGCAGCGGGATACGCGTCGTGAGATTGGGGCGGGTTTTCAGGAGAAGGCGGCTCGGCAGTGTCCAGGGCCAGGTTTTCCGGCGGAGGGGAGGGATCTGAGAGATGGAACTGTGGGTTCGTAGCTTCCTCGACGACGGATTCCATGGAAGAAAGGAAGGGAGAAAGCAGAAGGAGCTAGGGTTTTTGGTGAGATTGCGGGATAGATTGTGTTGAGGGCTTGTGGCTTTGGGAAACGAATTTAGGAAATATCCCCACGCCCGTTCGCGGAACTCGTACTTGGTAAAAACTGTTTTCATTCCAGTTCCAAGTTCCAGATGTATATGTTATATTTTCACTTTTCCTCGTGCAACCAGAGAAAGGCGGCTAAGGTAGGTTATAGGCTTCAGATGAGTTTACATCCAGGCCCAATTCGACTAGGCTCAAATTTAACCGGTAATATCAAAAACTCGCCGGCCCCTCCTCTTTCTCACTTTCATCAGCACATTTTCAGTAACATTTTTTAATTCAAGAATTGAAAAATTGTAGCGTACCGACTGTTCGATTATAAAAATCTCATATCGGGAAAAAAATTCGATAGCTGGTATTTAGCGGTATGAAATCGTTGAAACACAATTAGACTACAATTTCATTATAAAATATTATATCACTAACTTTTTTGGTACAACCTTCGGTACGGTTTTTCAATCCTTCATTTTTATTGTTGTTATCGTTGTAATATTGTTATATAAACAATAATGATAAAGTGAATTTTGAAAAACTTCTATTGTGATTAAATTAAAATTACATTGAGTTCAAAACTACCTTGACAGCCCAAGGCTGCCATCTCAAAATGAGCAAATTAATCAAAACAACCAGCAAGGTGAAACACTAATAATAACAACTAGGTAGATTCTGTGCCGCGCTTTGCTGCGGCGTCTCACAGGATAAGATGCATCATTTGCTAACCCGTATTTGATTTGTGACCGTGCTTAGCAGCGATCCAATAGAGAAACTCCTAAAAAAATCTTAATTGGTAGGTGATTTTAGTGGTATGAAATGATTTAACCACAATTGAACTATAATTTTAGCAGAAAATGCACTAATGCTAATTTCTTCGGTATGACCTTCGATATGCTTTTACAATTGTCTATTTTTTATGCACATACATCGAGGCTCGGATTGGATCAACACGTCAAGGTTGATTTAATCACGATTGAACTACGATTATAGAACAAAATACCCTAATGCTAACTTTTCCAATGGTTTCATATTTTTTTTATTTTTTTCTGAACATAAATCGAGGCTCATGTTGAAGCAACGTGTCAAGTTTGATTTTAACCATAGTTGAACTACAATTTTAGCAGAAAATACACTAATGCTAACTTTTCCGGTACTACCTTAGATGGGGATAACAACGGGTCGAGTTAGGTTGGTTTCTGTCAAATCCAAACCCAACTTATAGAATATATTATTATATCTCGGGAGAAAAAATCTCGAGGTAAAATCAAATGAGTTTGGAAACCTCAAACCCAACCCACTGAGTATCTGCGGATTGATGAATACCCGTGAGTTCTGATGAACAAAAATACATAACACCAATCTCCTAGCTATTAAAATAAAAGTCTAACAACGGACTAAATCGGGACGTAAAACCAACTGTGACCCAAAACAAACAAAATACCCAAATATCAAATTAGCAAAATTCTCATGCAATAGAGTAGACAAACCAATTACTGTGACCCAAGCATAATGACCCACCACACAAATTAGCATAATCAAATTACAAAAGCTAAAAGAAATCTTATGACAAAGAAGAAAGATGCAAAACAAAAAATTTATAATAGCCACGTGTTGAATGTAAAAGTGGCTTTCACCTACAACAACTAAAGCTCCTTGTCATTTTAACCTATCTCTAATGCAACAGTAACAACATTATATCTTTAATAAGTATTAAGATATTGTTCTGTCAGAAATCTAAACTAGCAGAAAGTATTTTTGTTTCAAGTTTCCATCCCGACTTTATTTTAAATATTAATTATATCAAAATTTCATTTAATATTTTTAAGAAAATGGGATTTTTAAAGGTGGTCCAGTCCTTTATGCATTGATGAATCTTGGACTCTCGATGCTTTCAACGCTCTTATTCACTCTTCGATGTTTCAAGGTGTTCCCATCCTTTGTGCATTGACGAATCTTGAGGTTTTGACACTTTCAACGTTTTGGTTTTCGACGATTTCAACACTCTTATTCCCTCTTTCGACACCGAGGTTTCAACCTCGAACTAATTAAAGTACAATCAACACCAAGCTGAGTTACGTTATATTTCACATAAGTGCTCTCCCAATGGCAACGAATGGCCCAAAGAAGCTAAATAGCTTGTTACAAAGTTGGCGTAATCAAATTTCCCAAAGTTGCGCCATGAGCCGTCTCCGGATAGTGAAATTGCGCGGACGTTGCTCTCGATGAGCTCTTTCTTTTTTCAATAAGAGAGTCTATTATGTAGAAGAGCTTTCCTAGCCCCAAGCTACGAAATAACCTTCTCTGCACCATATCAGTCAGCTTAAAGTATGTATTGTAAATCCCTCCGAAATTTCTTGAGAAAGATTTTAAAAAGTGGTCATTGTCTCCTCGCTTAGTGCAGCCAATGAAACTATATGTATAGACTATAGAGTACTCCTTCACAAATATTCAAGATCAAGCTCATTAGGAAGTAACCAATGGCAGTTGGCTCATCATCCATGGCCACCGTAGGAGGATTAACCAGCAGGAGGGAGTGCAGTGTACGGCAAGATCACCCCTTTCGTTGCTCTCTCTTGTATGATGGCCACCATGGTAGGTGTCATCTTCGCCCACGGCATTGGAATTTCAGGCGGAGTGACTTCAACGGAGTCATTCTTGAAAAAAGTTCTTCCGCGAATATGAAATAGGGTACCAAAATCAGCAATTATTACAAATTCGATAGCCAGATGCAGCTCACTTCCTCCCTCTACGTTGCCGGCCTCGTCGCTTCCTTCTTCGCCTCTCTGTGATGGCCATGAATCATAAGCTGAAAGATTTATGTACGAGAAAGTATAGAACGCAAGACACGAGTTTTACGTGGTTAGTCCCATTCAATGTGAATTAGGCTTACTCCACTGAGAAGATTAGTTCTTTCAAGCTTTCATTCAATGTACGGCCGATTACAACGAAGAGATCAATATATACCCTATTCTCCATGGACTACTAGGGTTATACGTGGGCTGATTCGAGAAAAGACTTTCTCACCCTTACACTCTCATGCAAACGACTACGTACAAGGAAATCATCATCTTATACTCCCCCACAAGCTGAGGCATGAAGATTGCAAATACTCAGCTTGTATAATAACTCCTGAAATCGGTCACCGGTGAGCCCTTTAGTGAATAGATCGGCAAGTTGATCATGGGATGAGATTTTCTGCGGATGAATTTTACCAGAGGTGACATGCTCTCGAACAAAATAACAGTCCATTTCCACGTGCTTCGTACGTTCGTGGAACACAGGGTTAGCTGCAATATGAATGGCAGCCTGATTATCACAATGGAGAACCGTTGGACCAGTAGAAGGAACTCCCAAATCGCAGAGAAGAGCTCGCAGCCAAAGAACTTCACTGACGGTACTGTCCATGGCGCGATACTCGACTTCCACAGAAGAACGTGCAACGACCCCTTATTTCTTTGTCCGCCACGAGACCGGGGCATCACCCAATGTAACAAAATAGCCTGAGGTTGATCGTCGAGAAGTCTGACAATCGCCCCAGTCAGCATCACAGTAGGCCGTGAGATGCAAATGACTAGTAGAGGGAAGTAAGATGCCCTGCCCAAGAGCACTCTTCAGATAGCGAAGCACGCGCTCAGCTGCAGCAACATGAGCGGAAGTGGGAGCATGCACGTATCGACTAGGGATGACAATGGGGCGGGTTTGGGGCGGGTTTGCCTAAACCATCCCCATCCCCATCTTCAAATACCCAAACCCATACCCGCCCCATACCCATGCGGGGTAATGTTTTGCAAACCCATCCCCATACCCGTGGGTTTCGGGTACCCATGGGTAATACCCATCCCCGTACATCCAACATTATTATACCTAAAACTTACAAGAAAAGTTTTAATTATAACCATAAACAAACCTATTATACATGAAGTCAACAAAACACGGTCATTTTCTAAATACGATTCAAAGAATATGATCCTAAACATCCATTAATACATAATATATACTATAATATTTTTTAAATTATTATGCTCTAACTCTTGATACATTTACTAAGTAATAACTAACTAACATAATCTTGTCGACAAGGGGGAAAGTGAAAGAGTGGAAGGAGAATTGAGGGAAATGAATTAGGTTTTGATTAAGGTGGTTACTCAATTGCATTTCTACTATTTATTTTCTCGAGTTATCATCATCATCATTGATAGATTACAATTTAATCCACATATTTTTTGATATGTGAAGAAATTCTCTTGGTGGGGCGGGTATGGGTATGGGGCGGAGGAGGCTAAAACCATACCCACCCCATACCCATCAAACTTTTTGCGGGTTTTACCCATACCCGCCCCATACCCGGTCAAAGTGGGGATTCCCCGCGTTGACTGGGTCGGGGGCGGTCGGGTACCCGCGGCCATGGGTTTGATTGCCATCCCTAGTATCGACTGAGGATGTTAACAGCATAAACAATGTCAGGTCGGGTTACCGTGAGATACTGGAGACGGCCGACCAGGCGATGATACGCAGCGGCATCGTCATCAGAAACGCGAGGAGACTCATCATCAGGAGGTCGCGTAAGTTGATGGTGTTGTTCAATGGGAAAGATGCTAGGACGCCCACCAGAGAGTCCACTGTCCTGTAAGAGATCAAGTGTGTACTTTCGCTGGCAAAGCATAATACCAGCACGGGACCGAGCTACCTCAATACCCAAAAAGTACTTCAGAGGCCCAAGATTTTTTATGCCAAACTCGCTGTGAAGCCTATCCTTAACCTGCTGAATGAAGTCCATAACGTCACCCGCCAGGATGACATCATCAACATAAATGAGCGCAGCAACATATGAACCCTGTCGACGACGAACAAATAAAGAGTAGTCCGCACGAGAATGTTGAAAACCAAGACCTGTAAGAGTCGATGTGAACTTCGCATACCAGTTGCGAGAAGCTTGCTTCAGTCCATAAATGGATTTGTGTAGGCGACAAACCCGGGAATCACCAGGCACTGCAAAGACGAGGAGGCACCGAACAGTTGATGTATACCCTCGGTCTGAGTAAAACCCTTGGCCACCAGATGGGCTTTGAAGCGCTCAATGTTGCCATCCTGTTTGTACTTAATATTGTAAACCCATTTACAAGAGATAACCTTCTTACCGGGAGGCAAATCCACGAGAGACCACGTACCATTTGCGACCAGCGCATCGATCTCACGTTGCATGGCGACTCGCCATTCATGGTAATGTACAACGTCGCGAAATAACGCCAATTATTTGTGACTTGACACGGCTGCCAAGAAACTCCTATGGCCTGCTGAAAAAGTTTCATAGCGCACATAATTAGACATAGGGTAAGGCACATTGGATGGAGGTAGTTCCACGTCAAAATGTTCAAAAGATTTGGGAACTCGCCGATCTCGCAAGCTACGGCGCAAATCATGAGTGGGTTCCTCCACCAAGGCCGGGTGGGACGAGGAATCGTCATGCTCCCCAGACGAGCTCTGATACCATGTTAGCGAACTAACCACTTGGCCCCAATAACTCGAGTTGTTGGGAAAGTGATAGTTAAGCCTTTTAACCTCTAATACGCCCCCTCAAATGAAAGCCGATGCCAAATTGTGGATTTTTACGGTTTGCACAGGTTGAACCCTTGTGCTGCCAAACCACGAGGCTTTAGTTTGCACAGGTTGGACCTACCATCCCTTGTGCTAAACAAATGGATGAAAATGGGAGTCGTCGTGAGGATTCGAAACCATGACCTTTCGGTTCTAGGCTCTGATACCATAAAAGATTTTTGTACGAGAAAGTAAAGAACGCAAGACACGAGTTTTACGTGGTTCGTCCCATTCAATGTGAATTAAGCTTACTCCACGGAGAAGATTAGCTCTCTCAAGCTTTCATTCAATGTACGGCCGATTACAACGAAGAGATCAATATATACCCTATTCTCCATGGACTACTAGGGTTATACGTGGGCTGATTCGAGAAAAGACTTTCTCACCCTTACACTCTCATGCAAACGACTACGTACAAGGAAATCATCATCTTATATAAGCCAACCAATCTCTCTGCATTAATACTTGTGCCAAGTTGGGATCTCAGCGCATAAAGGATTAACCTTTGAAGGGCTTTTGATGCTTCAGGCAGTTCAATCCATTTTACGTGTTTAAAGAGTTGAACTTGAGAATCACATAAACGGTAAACTAATCAATCAAATTCGAATATGAAGCAAAAAAAAAAAAAAAAAGATAGAAAACTACAGATAAAACTAGACCTTGGCTGAAATGACAACTGCAGATAAATAAACCCACAATTGCATAATGCAAAATATGTAAGTACTGCAAAATTCTGAATCATGCATATCAAAAGTCTAAGGTGCCACTCACTTTTTTTTTTATCATCACAAGATCAAAGCCAGGAAGAACACCTTGTTCCTTGCAGTCAATCTATGGTTATGGTCGATGAAAGATTTTGAGGAATCTTTAACTTCTTCAACAAAAGTATCTTAAAAGTCATAAGCTGATGCAGAACACAATCACAAACATCAGGATTTTGAGAACATGTTGTCCAAATCTCCAAGCACATTTAGGCTACCAAATTGATGCACATCTATTGTAACTAAAATACCATAAGGTCTTGAGAACATCCACCACTCTAGAGAAATGAAAGGTGGCAAATTACCAAATCACAGCTCAAATTCCTTCCAGAAAAGGATAAGAGCAATAAACAATACAACTAGAAATTGGGGAACTTTGTAAAAATGGAATGTGCTAATTGGTAACTATATATTTTCCAATGAAGATTTGCTTGAGTTTCCCCATATACGATCTTATTCACAGAAAGATCATTTTAAATTGAACAACTCAAACAAAGAAGAGGAAGGGTACTATTTGAAAGAAAAACCATAATCCTTACATGATATTTTAACAGACAGTCAGCGCTCAGCAGCAGGGTACTAGAGTTAGTCGGAATATAGTATACTATGTGTGCGGTTTAGTTAGGTGTTACAAAATGGATTACAACGGGAATATAATATAGTATACTATGCTTCTTAGACTCTTGGATGGACTTAGTGGGTCTGACCTGGTGAAGTGAGCTTATTGTGATACATATATCAGGGTCACAGATAGAGAGGGGTTGTGATACATATACCAACCGACTAAACAAGGGATCACAAAGAAGAAGAAAAAAAAGGAAGGGGGAATAACAAAGTCTGGAGTTGCATATATTTTTCATTTCGTTGTCTTGACTATGATCTGTAGTGAAAGAAACAAGGGCTTGGCCTTTCTACCCCAAAAAGGACATGTCCTTGTTGCCTCTCTGCCACTTTCACTAACATACCCCCATAAATGGATCAGAGATTTCCTTCTTTGAGAGATACATCAACATGAAGCAAGTGCAAAATACTTTGGAAAGTCAAAAGACACAACTGATCCAGCAATGGTGAAGAATGCACGACTGTGGCTGAAGGAGCATGATAGTAGTTCTTCGTGGGTCTCCTAGCAAAGGCAGCAATTGTGTTGTCGTCCAAATCCGAAAAGTCATATTGACTACAACAGTAACAATCATTTAAAGGTAATGCATAGAAAATGAAAAAGAATGGATCAATATTTGGATATTTGAAATATGAATACAACATTTTTTTGTGTCCGAGGGTAAATTATCGTTTTAGATCACACAGCAAGCCAAGAAGGTCGAGGTT